TGACTCAGGTTCGATCCGGATTTTAATCATTCGGGCGCCTGACCCGTCGAACCGCCTCCGGTCGAATTCGTGGGGCCCACCCCACTTATCGGATGGTCAGGTTCGATCCGGATTTTAATCATTCGGGCGCCTGACCCGTCGAACCGCTTCCGGTCGAATTCGTGGGGCCCACCCCACTTATCGGATGCTCATGTAACAAAATTAACTGTCGATGATGAAATTATTTTGGATGCCAAAACAATATGAGTACTAATGCTTCAACATGTAAAATGAAATCACAGTTTTATTTATTATTACCGCTGAGGCACATATCGATCGTCTCATAGCAAAAGAAATGGAAAGAAGAAAAAACAGAAAAGAAAATCTATCAATGTATTATTAAGTATCTTAGTAGATCTGCGAAACTCTGCGAAAATCTATCAATGTATTATTAAGTATCTTATTATGTCTGCGAAACTCTGCGAAAATCTATCAATCTATCAATGTTCGATACCAATCTTTTCTAGCTTATTATGCTTATTTTTTGTGTCTGATTTTTCACTTCGATTTATTTTGATTTTAAATCATATTATTTCATGTGATAATAATGTCTCCTAGTCTCGACTTGATTATAACAATAGAAGAACCTTTTACAAAAACTAAGATGTCTGATATCGTGGTGGAGAAATGATGAGCATGCGACGATGAATGAAAGTCCTCACACAATTAAATTTCTCTATACATTCGTACATAGTCAAACTCTGATAGAAACATAACATAAAAACTTGAGAATATTTTGATTATCTTTCTGATCTAATAACTTGTACTCATTTATATCGATATAAACGATTTGATATCGTTTATAGCACGAAAAAATTTATAGAAAATGAATCTCAAAATCAACTATGGTATAAACATAACATAAAAACTTCAAAAAATATTTTGATTATCTTTATGATCTAATGACTTGTACTCATTCACATCGATATAAAAGATTCGATATCATTTATAACACGAAAAAACTTTATAGAAAACAAATCTCAAAATTAACATGGATGTTATACTCTGAGAGGTTCCTCACGAAGAAGTATCACAAATTTAAGATAAATTAACATGAATATTATACTCTAAGAGGTTCCTCATAAAGAATTTAAATTGTCACAAATTTAAAATAGTACAATCAGTATGCAATAGGGGGATAGGGTTAATTTATCATTGAACTCTGCATGATCAGCCATATGGATCTTCTGCATCATTGAACTCTGTGGAAGAAAATATCTCTAGTTAAATTAAATGGAATGACGTGTATTCTTCCCTCCCTATCCACTGATGTACGAGAAAATGGAATGACGTGCCATTCACAATGCACGTGTTAGTGCTGTGAGATCAATAATCGGAAGGAGCACACACAGGTGAAGCTCGTGTCGTCTTGCTTCGAAGGCACGTATGGATGTTGTGAAGTCTCATCTCAGTCGATTAATGTTTCCACTCGATTCATTCGTTGCATCACCAATCACCACAAATGAGTGGTGATCCCTGCAAGCTTTCAAGTGAAAAATTAGTATAAATTTTGGATCACCACATCGTCGAGATGAAGATAGTTCAAAAAAAAAAAAAGATTAGTACTTCAAAAGGATTTATTTAATAACTCCTATTTATATTAATCAAAAGATATAAAATAGTATAAGTTCTTTTAAATAATAAAGAAATATCTTATATTCCAACAAATCTTCTCATCCTCATTCATTTTTCTAATTTAAATCTTTATCTTTTATTTTATTTAATTCTAAATATTTAAATTAATTGTATCACACCTCCTTAATTCAAAATAGTTGTATCTTGAAGTTGTATTGGAAAAAAAAATTCTAAACTCCTTTTAGCTGCTCCAAAGTGATGCTTATAGGGGCTGTGCATAAATCCGAATAACAAACTAACTGTAAATATAATATCCAACCTCGAATGTGTGAGATAAATTTATGTTCCAATTAAACATGTATATTATTATTTTTATCTATTTTTAACTATATTATTTAACATAATTTATCATTTGTATTCATTGGCATATAAGTTGTCATATGAAACCTTTTAAACAAATATTTACCATATTTTTCTTAGCACATTATATATATATATATATATATATATATATATATATATATATATCGTGTACTTGATTCGAAAGTTTCTCCAAGTTAGATTTCATAATATGTACGGGGTCTTTAAAATGTTTCCTCGCTGCTGTAATGTTATGATATTTCAAGTGGTTGCAACTTTTATTTTGCTTACACTTAATTTCAGTTTAGAAGAATATTGAAAGGGCTAAGATTATAACTCATGTATCGTTTCGATCTCTCTTGTAAGAGAGATAGAGATGGCGCAGAGATATTGAAAATATGATGAAGAGTCACTCGCAAAATATTGTTTCTCCACACATTAATTGTTTTCCCACGCATGTCTGAGGCCAAGTCGCCACCGATCAACCGAGAGAAATAACAAGCTACAATAGAAACATAACACAAATGCTTTAAAACATCGGTATAAAATAAAAGGTATCAAAAGATAATTAGAAATAAAATATCAAAATCAACAGGGATGTTCCACTCAGACGAAACTCCTGAAGAATATAAATTGTCACAAATTTAAGATGATTAAATAGTGCAGTCAGGATGCAACAGGTTTACACATTTGTCTCGAGGAAGCACTTGCAATCCTAATTTTCAGCGACAACATGGTGCTTTCCCTGCACAGCAGCAACATAGGAATTATAGAGTGCAGTAAATTTCTCCTTGTACGGGAAAAGAAATTTGTTCATGAACTTCTGCTCAGTTAGTGGCATGACATATAAAAGGCGATGTCCTTTATCCAGCAATTTATTCTGCTCGAGAAAATTTATAACTTCATGTCGCGGTCTCAACCTCTTCTCCAAGCTATATGCAAGAATCCCAGGATTGCGAATGATATACTGCAGCTCACAACCAGCTTCCTTCGTCAGGAATGTCATTTTGTCAGATATGTTCTTCTTTGAGAGTCTCCAAACACATGGGTTCTTCCTGAGTATGGCAACGATATCTGGCTGGGACCAACCAAAGCTCTTCAAGGTTGCAAAGGTAGCATCACACTTAGATCTGCTCGAGTTCAAGACAGTAAGAAGTGCATGAGGGAACATTCCACAATCATGTGGCACACCCAACTCCTCAACATGTTCCATAACTTCCTTAATAAATTTGTTTTTTCGAACAACAAAACCCGAATTCAACACCACCATACGCGCGATGCATTCATCACTGATGCCACATTCCCTTAAGAGAGATATATTGGGCTCTATCTTCCGAGCTAAGCTAGAAGTAAGAAGAAATCGGTTCCTACTGCAGGCTTTCAGTAACCTCTCATTAGAACCAAGTAGTGACTTCAAGAAGTTCAAATTCGGTTGGATATTATGATAGAGTACAGTCGGAAATTTTGAAACCAACTGAACTATTTCGGTAACAGAAAATCCCATGTCCTGCAAAGATCTCATCCTGGGCTTCAGTGTAGTCTCTACCTTAGCACACAGCAACCGGGGTGCCTTCTGGGTAAGTTTCATGACTTGTACATCGCTCCAACCGTTCTGCTTAAAGAACTCAATGAAAAGATTAGAAGAATTTTTACGACAGGTGTGATACTTGGGTGTTTTTGCAGCCTTTTCTGAGGAAAGTTCACATGATTGAAGGGGCTTGACCACTAAAAAGTTGGATCTGTGCTCTGAACTCTGGTCTTTGGAAGTTGAAAAGTTAAACAGGCTGCAAAGTTGATAGGAGGAACGATAAATGGAGGAATTGTTACATGGGAAAAGGCAAAAGAGCCTTTTTTGCAACAAAAACATCATCTTTTGAAGCAGTATCGTGTACTGTTTGCAGAAAAATACAAAAAAAACTAATCTTATTGCAGGA